TGGCTTTTATCCCTGTGCTGTGGCCTTCTAGTAAGTCAGATGAATCATTTTCTTCAGTGTAGTATTCTAGAAGCTGTTTAATTTAAAACCAGTGCAGTTTCTTCCCAGATCTTGTGTTATTAAAATGTTTTACACTCATTGGTGTTCATGCCAAACGTCTCCTTCTCTGCTGTACATTGAGTGCATGCAGCAGATTTATTTATTTATTTTTTGCGGACACACATTGTTTCGCATTGCACTATTGTGATACTACTGACAAAATCACAGTCGTTACCATCCACATTTGAAATCCTAAACATTAAGCATGACCCTAATGTGTCTGTGAGCTGAGGGTGAGGTTTACGATTTGATCGGCCTCATGTTGCTGATTCTAGACACAATTTTTTAGTTTGTGTTGTCTCAGATTGTCAGGAGGGGTAAATCGGGGATAAATCAGCCTACAACTTGCAGTGTGAGCCCAGCTTTAGCTGTTTACTCCCTAAGTCTGATTTTCACATCATTACTTTTATAACGTTCCTGAACAGCCATTACAGCTGGAAAACACTCTCATACGCACACAGCAGAGATGATGTCAGATTCCTGAAGCTTATAGCTGATCCTTGTTGGAAGTCAGTCTGGCTTCATTGGTCATAGGTTCACCTTCATCTGTATGGGACGGTTAAGACCCCCTTCTGTTCTTCCTGAGAACCGTCATCCCACCAGATCCATTACTAAGCTTTTCCCTGGAAAACTCATCATCATTATCCTGTTCTCTTTTTGACTCTATGCTTCCTCTTATTATCTCGCCTCTGTCCTCTATTAGCATTTTCTGTTCTTTCCAGTCGTAACATAGATCTGTCTGTGTCCATTCCTGCGATCTGACTCTTCCTGCTGCGCATCATCCAAGTGGCCCGCAGAACAGCTCCACTTTTCTCTCCTCACTTCAATAATTTGCATTTCAAAGGCAAACGGCGGATGTGTTGGCTGATGCGCAGGTAGATGAATGAATGTGCGGACGGCCAGCAGCCCAATGATGCAGCTTGGTTTAACCGTTCCCATATTACAGCTCCTGGTACGAACAAGTGAGTAAGCACTTTATCAGAAGCCAGAGTTGTGGCCTTTTGGTGAGGCTTGATCTCTTTCAGAACTTGCAGGGTGTTTTTCTTCTTTTTTTTTTTTAATAGAGGAGCTCTGCATTTAACGACACACTGTATATCCTACGCCTTAAAAAATAGATTAATGTTACCCTCTGAGAACTTCCTGACGCTGTACATGCTGTGCATTTTATACAGATTAATGAAAGTTGAAAGCAACGTTTGCTACTCTTGTATTTTTGTCTGATTAGTTCAGTAAAATCACTGTTCTTTGAGACAATCCCCGTTTCTTCCATTTGTTCAAAAGATGAGAAGACGGCCATCCAGAAATGTAAGACACTGCCATTTTGGTTTCTGTCTATTCCTGTAGGTAGCTCATTCTCTTAGCTAATGTAAAGTGATTACACTTATTTCATTAATTAATTAATTAATTAATTAAGCAAATAATTTTAAAAAGTGAATTATCTAAACTAAAAAGTAACTCAGATATTATTACTTAACTTGTAGAAGTAATGTGTAACTTAACTTGTAATATTATTACGTAACTTGCGTTACTTGTAATGCTTTACACCTGAACTCAAAAATTTTACCCCACAAATTGTTCATCCATTGTATTTTTCCCACTTTCCTGTGAACTATTTCATTAAGATCATAAAAATGTGTAATATTGCAAAATAAGCAAAGCATGGGATGCATAACTATCCCAGTTTAATTTTGAGAAATTGTTAGTTTTTCAGTATTGTATTGTTATAATAGCATTTCCAGCACATTTTGGCCATAATATATGATGCACAACAAATTGGCATGTAATCATTATCAGTCCGACAACAAAATTAGGGCAATATCTTTAAGCTTAGAAATTAATAATATTTCACTGGTTAAACCATTTCACATGCTTGACTATAGGCTATACGTTTTATTTCTGTTTAAAAAAGAGTTGGCCATAGAAAAGAATACTTAAATACTAGTTTAAACAGTTAACTTTTCAGAAAGAAAGAAAAAGTCAGTTGTTCTTTCAGCTTTTGTTCTTGCAATAATGCAGAAATATTTGAAAAAGTTAAACTGACATTTATTGGCTATTATAATGGCTGTCGGTCTTCAAATCTCGATGGTTATCGGTTATTTTATCTGTCAAAAATTAATATCATTGCATCTATAATACTTCTTTCTTTAGAGTTTCAAAACAAATGACAGAATTCCCATGTAGATACACTGTTAAACATTGTTAGCAGGCAATTGAAATAAATGCAATTGAGTGTGAAAAAGAGTTTTACGAGAGCTAGAAGTTCCTAATTACAGCAACTGCCACAGCAGCTAGTTAAAAGGAAGTCTTTGGCAGGATTAACATTTAACAAAAACAGCACAAGGGCAGAATTCAGTTAGCGCAGCAGCATTTTCACATTTACCCATCAGTGAAATGCCAGAATCTGAGGCAGTCAGTACACTCAGAAATAAAGGTTGCAGAGCTGTCACTGGGCCTTAACCCTTTCGAAGGGTACACTTTTGTATGTAAAGGTACATATTAGTACGTAAAGAATACATTATATATATGTTAGTCTTGAATGGGTCCATATTGTAGCCTAGAGTCCACATGAATCAGAAGTTGCAGAGACTTTTATTTCAGTATGTTGATGTACTTGCAAACTGGAATGCAATATTGAGTAGGGGGGCAGGGATTTCTTTGTCTGCATCATTTCCCCCATAGCAAACTGCTAAAAATCGTAGCTGAAGCGTTAAACTTACATCAACTGATGGCCACTCCAAATGCTGGACAGACTTTGATTGAAGATTACCAAAAGAAAAACAAAAATAAGTGGTTTAGCTTTCATGGATTAATTTGTCACCTGAAGTACAACAATGTGCAATAGCAAAATTTCACACAGCCTGTAAAGGTACATATTAGTACCTACAGGGTTCCCACGCTTCTTGATAGGGCTTAAAAGTAAATGAAAGTAAATTCAATTTAAGGTTTTTCTTCAACAATTGTACTCAGTTGTCATATACAGAATGAAAAAATTACAAATTCTTAAATAACAAATCTTAAATGTAAATCTTATAATATTGTTAATATAATTAATAATATTGTACAATACACTGACATATAATGCACATTTCATCAATATTTCAGAAAGCACATTTGCAATGCAAGTCACAATGCTATCACCAGCAATTATGGCAATTAAGTCCTCAATTAAAATTAAAAGGACACGCCTGGTATTACATGAAACTCCGAAGGAATGTGGATAGCCTGCTGACGTAATGGCGTTAATCGAATTATGTGCTATAACATGTAAAACGGGATCATGAAAGCAACATTCAAACGACAGCTCATATAAACACTTATTGTCAGATTAAGGCAAATAGTTTAATTACTGATGTCCATGCAAACATTGATGTTCATTGTCATTGATGTTCCTCATGAACTTTACCATAGACCTCCTTGGTGATCGTACAACACTTTCAAGCAATAATAATACCTAACACACCCACAAAAAAGTATTTTAGTGTACAGCTAGTTCAAAAGGCCTTGAAGAAAAGAAGACTAGAAGAAAGAGAACAGGAGATTGGGCGAATGTCTCTTAAGCCACATTCTCAACTCTCCCATAACCCATGAACACATCATTCAGACGGCCCTCTGAGAGTCCCAAACACCCGCACATCCAAACTGCCTCTAAATAAAGCATGACATGGTGCAGAGCTCCTATCTCTCCAATCCTGGATCTGTCCCCAGAAGGGTCAGAGAAGTACACCGAGCATTGAGGGGAAAACATTGGGGAGGAGAAAAGAAAAGAGCGAGAGTGCAGGGGTGTCGTCCACGTCTGGTGGTCTGGACATCATCTTACATAACTGTCTGGCTTCAGCTCAGCGACATGAGAACGTATAGCGCTAATGACGCTAATGCGCGTTGACAGACTACATAAAGCTGGTGGGACGACGCTGGACTTTGAGTGGCATTTGGAGTCTCGGGAGTGAAACCCAACAACAACAAAAAAAGATGCCAGCTCAGGCACATCATCTATTTTCATATACATCTGCTTTCATCTTCATCTTCGGTAGATTAAAGGAAGAGTTAAGTCCAAAATGAAAACTCTGTCATCATTGGCTTAGACTTGTGTCATTGCCAAAATAACAACCCACTATTTTTCATTATTTTAAAAAGAAACAACACCGTAACTGGCAAAATTAGCCACAATGTTATCCATATGACTTGTCTACTACAGTTTATTCAAAGTACAACTACAAATGCGACAACAAAGACCAAAAAGCCAGGATATTATTGACAGTTCTCTTTTTGTGCTTTACTGGAAAAAAAAACCAAATGTAATAGTATAAAAAACTGTTTGAAATAGGGTAGTGTAGTTTGAGTCAGCCATTCTGAATGAATCATTTGAATGATTTCAATAAATCAATCATTAAGACGGGGACATTTAAATTTGTTTCCCAAGGCACCATCACAAAAACACATAATATCACTTGAAAAGAGTTTTGTGACACCCCAGAGTGTCACATAAAACAACACAGATGAGTTAAATATTGCATTCAGTTAATACAAGTAAAAGGGATCATATAACTCAAGCAGTTGAATATATTAATTGTTTGTCTTTTTAAATATTATGTAATTTAATGTAACGCCTAGTCTTCTGTATCACATGATCCCTCAGAAATCGTTCTAGTGTGCTTATTTTTTATATTATTATCAATATCGAGAACAGTTGTGCTTCTGCTTAATATTTTCCCTGGAAACTGCAATGCTTTATTTATTATCCATTTAACCTTATTTTAGTTTTTATGGTTGAAGTCGAAGGTAAGATGGCAGATTTGTGTGGTCTTTAGGAAGACAGTGAGTTAATAGCTTCAAGAAAAGGAGTGTAAAAAGCTGGCATGAGTAATTGTCTCTGGCTCATGTTCTTTTGTCTCCATTCCCAGGTTGCTCACAATGGCCTTATTTTGGAAATGGACCACCCAACATCAGGAAGGATCACGGTGCCAGGTTTGTATAGAATTTACTAAGTGCAATACATGTTCTGCAGTCCTTTGCAATCCACTCTTTAAACGTACTTCCTGAGATGCTTTTAAAATGAATCCAGTTTCCGGAGGAGTTCACCCAAAAAGCATGCATGCACTTTTAATTGGAACTCTGAAATGACAATAGGATTTTTTAGGGTGAACTCTTCTTTCCGCTTGAACTTTCTGTTGCTTTCCTATACTATCTGTCCATCGCTTAACATCCACAGACAGTCAGACTCGTCATCCCTTGAACTCTACAGACGTCTACTTCCCTTTGTGACTCTCTCATATCGAACAATAGAGAATCATTTATTTTTGACGTTTTTTGTTTTGACTTCTCTTTGTCCGTTCAAAAAAGTAAAAAAGTTTCTTCATTGACATCCGAGTCACCCCATGCTCTTTCATTCTTCAGCATGAGAGTCCCAGAGAGACGCTTTCTGAACTCGTCGTCTCGTTTGATCGGCGCTTATATGCAAAAACAAGTCATCGTTGATCCTCAAACAACGGACAGGTCTGCGGTTTCCTGTGCTTTTTGCTCCTGGAAAAGAATGCTTAATGGTGAGACAACATTTAAGAAAGGTTAAATGCAGATGTTGGCTGTCGTCAAGACAACATTCAGTCATTTTTTTTCTCTCCTGCTGTTTTCGTGGTGCTTCAAATGTCAGACCCTGATGGACTCGCTCCAGACAGGTGGTTTTACTAACATCGAGTTTAGTTGTGGTTTGCAGCTCTGTAAACACACAAATACACAACATTTACGTAGACACCAGCAGACGACCCCTTACTAATGATCTATGCTCAGTCCCTTCAGTTGACTAAAAAGCAAACACTGGCAGGAAGGGACCGCTAATAGCTTTGTCATGGATAGTTGGTCTATGCGTATAAAGCGGCTTGTTTTGTATGAACGGCTCTCTGAAGAGCCATCTTCACATTCTAGCCGATTTTGGGCTCTATTTTAACAATCTAAGCTTGATAAAGTCTAAAGTGCATGGCGCAGAAGTATTAAAGGCCTGCCCGAATCCACTTTTGATAATTTACAAACGGAAAAAAGGGTTGGTCTAACAGGGTTGAGCTTATTATCTTAATGAGTTATGGGTGTGTTTTGAGCATAACATGCACTAAACCAACCAATCAGAGTCTCATCTCTCATTCTCTTTTAGAGTCAGTTGCGTTGCGCCATGGCGCATTTGCCATTTACGTGGTGGATTTTAAAAAAAGTGTAAAAACTAAATGCTTTACTAGTGAGAAGAAAACCGATCGTCTGTGTGAGGATAAAGAACCAAAGCCCGACAGGGGGACAAATCTAAACGTATTTTTATTAAAACAAATATAAATACGCATATAATAAATAATATCTTTACAAACGCAAATTTTCGTGAATAAACCGACTACAACAGACCCGGATTCCTAGCCCACGAAATAAAAAAGTCATGAAGGTGGTGTTTTTTGTAGTTATGTTTAAAATAATACTTTTTAACATGTTAAATCTTCATTGTTTTTCACATATAAAGATATTCTTGTATTGCTGTACATCCTGTGTGTATTAAGCAATGTTTATGCATGTTTTGGGCCTGCATATGTGCATAGTTAACATGGTCTTTAAAGAATTAAAACTCTGTGCGATTGACTTTAGAGCAGCTTTTAGTTGGTCACTGGCGAGGTTGGTCTATCTTAGTTGCCTCAAAATAGCAACGTGCAAACAATGCGCCTTAACAAACCTACTTTTCAGACTAGCACATTAATGAGTTCACAAAGTGGCACAAATAGATTTGCTATTTAAAGGTAAAGTATGTAAATTAGACACCCAGTGGTTGAAATGGGTATTGCACACCTGGTTAAAAACAAACGCTAGAGCAGGTTGTCATATTAATGATACCAACAGGAGCGAGCCTGACTGTCGTACCTAAAGGCTGATTTAAGGCTGATTTAAGTCGTGTTCTAACTAAACGCAATGGCACACAAACTAATATGAGTTTGAATGCCATTTTACATGACATTTATTATTATACTACTAAAAGCAGCAGCAGATAGTTCACCTCAGATCTTGAAAATAAAATAAACCGTTGGAAATGGAACTTTAGTGCAAGCCAACATATATCAGTGATTCAGCATCGACATTTAATAATGTTAAAGAGATTTAATATGTATTAGTTATAGATTATAGGTAGATTATAAACCTCACCATTTCGTTGGAGTGCAGTGAGTGCACTATTCTGTGCTCCTCTTAATGGCAGTATTTAAATTTCTCTCATGTTTCGTCTGGTGCAAACAGCCCATTTGCTTATCCTTGCATGTCATTAGGACACAGGGTTATAATGTAACCTGCTCACCTAAAGTTTACGCTTATAATATGTATATAATGTGCTAATTAATAACCACCTCATGTGTAACTCTAAATCTGCGTCTCAATTTGGAGGCTGCATTAGAGTCGCATTTCGATCATAGACGCAAACTGTGAAAGTTTCTGACTGAATGCATGAAATATGCTGCTTTTCACCAAGGCAAAACGGGGTGCTGCAATATAATTGGCTAAACTGGCATTGGGTGGGTGGATTGACCAAAACAAAGACAGACGTTCTGGCACGTAACAGACATTTTCAAAGCAGAATACCTGACTTCAGCATTGTTTTTCAGATAAGCAAGAATGATCATTCAGCATGTTTCTGAAATATCTGCAATCATATTATGGTGTTTTTATGCTTTAGAAAGGTCAAAACTTACATACAGCACTTTTAAACAAAGTGGCGCAAAACGTAAAAATAGCTGCACTCATCTGAAAATATTAAAAACCCATCCAACATGCAATATTGTGCAGGGTGTATGATGCGGCCCTTTATCTTTTCCGTATGCGGCAAAAATGCACTTGAACGAGAAGCGCTGCACTGAATTCTGCATGCTTCCTTAACCACAAAGCAAATGCATTCTGCGTCAACTGTCTCTAGAGTGATAATCAGCCGGACTCTTTGATGGCTTCAAATGCTTGTTTACCAGTTCATTGTTTGCACGTTTGTTGTCTCCATCCGAGCCAAATCAAGGATGATTGTGAAGAATTTCTCCCTAAAGAAGGGGCAGAAACCACAACAAACACCTTTTTTTTTCCATTCCGCATTCCTCGCCTCTGACCCATAAATTCGCTATAACACTCGAGGCCTCTAATCTTCCGCTGCTATTTACATAACACCACTGTCTGTCCGTGTTTTCTGCCTTTTTTTCTCACCGGCAGCTGCACATGTGGAGCGTTTCCCGTCTTTGATGGCTTTGTGATGTTATCAAACATTTCGCAGTAGATAAAGCGATCTGTTTGTGAGCTCAGCAGAGCAGACGATACATTGGTGTTTGTTTTCTATAATGTTATTCTACACGTCTGAAGAACTACAGTAACAACATTGGTTTAAATTTGGCCTGGTGCTGGAATTTGAGTACATTACACAGTGTATTGTAAATGATCTGGCAGCATCTCTATTAGTCGCTAAGCTTCAAAAGGTTGTGTATGAACATAATAGTTTTGCATAATAGTTATATTTTTCTATGACTTTTTTTTAATTGTATTTGCTTATATCTGCGTATAGTTGTTTTGTATCTATTTTGTTTTTAGTATTTGCTTATACTTGTTTTGTGTCTATTTGGTTTTATGTCTTTGCTTGCAGGGCTTTACTTTAACACCCGCCAAAAGCAGGTAGATTTCAGCTGTGGCAGGTCCAACTAGCCACTTTGGCTGGTTGAAAATAAATTTTAAATGGCAGTTTTCTCAAAAGCAGAGTTCGACAATAAGGATATATATATATATATATATATATATATATATATATATATATATATATATATATATATATATATATATATATATACCTCCGAAAAATTATAATAGAAACTGAAGAAGGCTCATTAATATAAACAAACTAAAACTGTTACTGTACTGGAATTTTACATATTTTTTAAAAAGAAATATCAGCCTATCTGTATTCTGGCATGCCTTACAATGTCCCCTGCTGATGGAGAAGCTCTTTCACTGGGGATTGAGATGGCTGGTGAGGAGGGGAAAGCCTTTCCTGAGCTCCTTTCACCGGAGTGTACAGAAGGGGTCAATAGACCCTCTGCTCCAGGTGACTGGCCATTGGCATTAAAACCCTGATTCTAAAATGACTAATTACAGGATCGAGACAGGAGTTGAACATGATTATGAAGGTGAATATTTAATATTACTTGTATAAATAATTAGTATAAGTATCAGTGTGATGCATTTAAGAAGAGATACTCTTGAACATTTTTAAATATTCAGTATTAATAAGCAAATTATAAGAATATGCATAAACTAATTTGAAAAGGAGGAGAGGGTAAAAATAATCTAATAGCTACAGAAATAATAGCTAATAGTAACAGAACAATTTCCTCTTTCAGTCTGAAAAACAACTTCACACTTTTGCTTTGGAAACACTGATGCACCATGTGATCTCCGTAGCTCTTGTTTGTGCAAGCAAAGCTGCAGATTCTCTGGTCCCCGTGGTTTAGCTTATTAATAGTTTTTGTGTGTGTGTGTGTGTGTGTGTGTGTGTGTGTGTGTGTGTGTGTGTGTGTGTGTGTGTGTGTGTGTGTGTGTGTGTGTGTGTGTGTGTGTGTAAAGACGTCTGTGACTGTGCTGACAGGTTATGTGCATGATATTTGTTGTTTTGTTAGTGTAAGTAAACATATTTTTGCAGTATTTGCACAGTTTGTGCACCTCACTGCTGTCATTTTACTCACTCCACCTTTTGCTCGCGGCTGATGTGCAGGTAAAGTGAGTTTGCGGCTGTAAACACAGCGCCCCTCTGTTCAAACAAAATGCAATGCCAATCTTTCAACATTTCTACCAGTTTGAATTGTTACATATTTGAATCGATTTTCAACCAGCTCATGGTGAACCGTTACATGCCTCGTTATTAGGAGATTTCATGAAATCAACTGTTGTATTTAGTTCCGACAACTGGCATATCTTATATGGTTTGT